ACACCTCTCTTCTTCTATCGGCCCCTTCTCAGTAATGACAGCATTGTCGTCGTCAAGTCGACTCGTACTCCATTTCGGCTGCTGATATTCCCAGCCCCTCATTACCTCATTTCGCAGTGCTACTGGTCTGGGTGTGCGATCACTGCCCACTCGTTGCGTGACTTTGCAGGGTGTTTTTGAGAAATCCCAAAATTTGCAGGGTGTTTTTGAGAATTCTCAAAAACACCCTGCAAAAACGCAGTGCTACTGGTCTGGGTGTGCGATCACTGCCCACTGCCCACTCGTTGCGTGACGGCTCTGATTCTTGTTTCGCTGTCCCCGGGTTTTCCCCACTTGTTTTCATGCCATTTGCCCCACCCCCCCCCCCCCCCCCCCCCCCCCCCGGGAATCCCTTCGTGGCATCTGGCTTGTGTCCCCCCCACCCTGCATGGCACTGGTACTGGTTGCGGGACTACTTGTGCCGCATCGACCGCGAGAAGACCCGTGGATGGTGGCATTTGACTCAAGAAAGGCCTATCCTCCTCCCCTCCCCCCCCTTCTCCCCCCCGCAGTGGTACTGGTTGCGGGATGACTTGTGCCGCATCGACCGTGAGAAGACCCCGTGGGTGGTGGCATTCAGCTTCTTGAACTCAAGAAAGACCTATCTTTTGCCTTGCTTCCTCCTCCCCTCCCCCCCCTCCTCCCCCCCGCAGTGGTACTGGCTGCGGGATGACTTGTGCCGCATCGACCGTGAGAAGACCCCGTGGGTCGTGGCTTTCATGCACGTGCCCCTCTACAACAGCAACGACGGGCACTACCTCGAGGTATGGTTGTTTTGGTTGGATACTGCGACCGACCCGCATACCTGGGCATTCGTGCACGTGCCGCTCTACAACAGCAATGTCGGCCACTACCTCGAGGTATGGTTGTTTTAGTTGGATACTGCGACCCGCATACCTGGGCACTACCTGCGATGAACAATTGAAAGCGATATCAGCAGGGGTTGTGGGCATTCGTGCACGTGCCGCTCTACAACAGCAACGACGAGCACTACCTTGAGGTACGGCTGTAACAGGTGGATACAACGAGTATTAACAGCGAGTAACAATCGAATGGGACAGTAGCCATAGGTGGTGGGTGGCATTCATGCACGTGCCGCTCTACAACAGCAACCAGGGGCACTACCTCGAGGTATGGCTTAAGTGGCAGCAGAGCCTGCTAGATATTTGACAGCAGCTGTGGGTGGTGTAGACCAGGGGGGGAGGCCGGGATGAATCTGGCGGCTGGAGGAGCTACTCCATGTGCCATGGGGGCCCATTGTTCTCCCTTCCATCCCTCCTTTGTGTAGGACAAGCCCCATGGGATACGAGATGGAGGAGTGGCTGCACGAGGCTGATGGGGAGTGCCCCAGTCATACACGGAGTGCCCATGTGCACTCCAGCCCATGTGCACTCCAGCCCATGTGCACGGGGCGTATGAGTGCACCCACCCCGTGTATGGCATAAAGCGTGCCCTTTGTTCCCCTTGCCTTCCCCCTTGCCTTCCCCCTTGCCATCCGCCTTGCCATCCGCCTTGCCTTCCGCCTTGCCTTCCGCCTTGCCTTCCGCCTTGCCCATCCTTGGCTCAGGGCGAGCCCATGCGGTACGAGATTGAGGACTGGCTGCATGAGGCAGGGGTGGACCTGGTGGCGAGTGGCCATGTGCACGCGTATGAGCGCAGCTACCCGGTCTACGGCATGAAGCGGGTGGAGAATGGGTGTGCTGCCGTGCATGTGACTGTGGGCGACGGTGGCAACATTGAGGAAATCGCCGGCCCGTGAGTGCTTATTAACTGCCGCCCGTCTTCAGTTCTAATTCTGAGGTGCCTCAAAAGGCAACGGGCGTGCTGCCGTGAACGTGACCATGGGCGACGGTGGCAACATCGAGGAAATCGCCGGCCCGTGAGTGCCCGGTGTGTGTGCTTTAAGTGGCCACGTGCACGTGTACGAGCGCAGCTACCTGGTCTACGGCATGAAGCGGGTGGAGAACAGGTGTGCTGCTGTGCATGTGACGGTCGGCGACGGCGGCAACATTGAAGAGATCGCCGGCCCGTGATTGCCCTATGTGTGGCCATGTGTATGTGTAGCTGCACCCCCTAGTGTATGCCATGAGAAAGATGGGCAACGTCCGTGCTGCCGTGCATGTGACTGTTGCTGACGGCGGGAACATCGAGCACATGAGTGCCTTATGTGTGGTGCAATGACTGGTTGTATCCTCCCTTCTGCTGCTGACTATTCCTGCAGCAAGGTGTGTTGAATCTCCATGCTGCATGAGCGCATGGTGGTGCTTATTTAGCCCCTCAAGGTGACTTTTGAGTCGACTCAAAAGTCACCTCGTTACAATGTCACACAACACTCATGCTGCATGAGCTCATGGTGGTGCTTATTTAGCGCCTCGAGAACATTGCTGCATCAGTCGGTTGGAACTTGGAGACAATGTGTATCTTGGTGCATCAGAGCATGGAGGCAAGGAAAGTGAGAAATCAGCAGGTTTTGAGTCGACTCAAAAGCAATATGTACCTTGCTGCGGACATAGTAGACGATGAAACCTGCTGATTCTACATAGCAGAGGATTCTGCAGGTTCAGCTCAACCTTCCTTTGTAATTTTATCCTTAATCTCCCACTCTGCTTTTCTTCCCCCGCTTTTCGATGCCGTTTCCTGGATCTGGGCTGCAGCCATCATATAGAATCATATAGTGCGTATCGGGCAGGAGTCCACCCCCGTGATAGGAGTCTAGTTTTGAGGCGCCTCAAAACTAGACTCCTATCACGCGGATTTTGAGGTGCCTCAAAACTACACTCCTATCACGCGGATTTTATCCATACAGTGCGTATCGGGCAGGAGTCCACCCCGTCTTCCCCTTGGGCACCAAATCGTCACACATCACCCCCCCCCCCCCCCCCCGGCTCCCCCTCTTCCCCCCCCCCTCTCTCCCTCCCCTCTCCCCCTTCCTTCCCCTTCTTTTCTTCACCATTCAGTTTCCTGGAGCCCCTGGCATCATAAAGTACATTTTTGAGGCGCCTAAAAAATCTTTCTTTTCTTCAGCATTCAGTTTCCTGAAGCCCCTGCCATCATGAAGTACATATCACGAGGAGTCCTTCAGGCAGCGCGCCGTCGCACATCCCCCATTCCCTGCCCCCCTGCCCCCTCCCCCCCCCGTCCTTTTTTCCCCTCAGTTTTCTCGAGCCCCAGCCATCGTACAGCGCATACCGCGAGGAGTCCTTCGGCCACGCGGAGCTTATTTTCAACGACAACCACACAGCCACCTACAGCTGGTATGTCCGTGACCTCGCTTCCTGGTACGTCTGTGACTTCACTTCCTGGTGCGTCCGTGACCTTACTTCCAGGTGTGGTTACCTCTAGGCCCGTTCTCGTTTCCAACGACAACTGCACCGCCACCTACAGCTGGTAGGTTTCTCAACCTCTGTGTCTCAGGGCTGTTTCTTGGCATTTCTTTCTAAACGGGTGTTTCTTAGCCTTATTGTTGAAGGGGTGTTGGCTGATTGCTTCACTCCCCCTGAAAACCACCGGTTGTCCCTCTCCTTTGTTCACCCTCTATTGAATGCGCAGGTACGGCAACTGCCAGGGCAAAGGAGTGTTGGCCCTTCTCCACTTCCCTGGAAACCATCTTCCCTTCACTCTCCTTTCTGTTCATCCCTCTATTGACTGCGCAGGTATCGCAACCACCAGGGATCGGGCGCGTTGGCCCTTCCACTCCTCTGAAAACCCACCTTCCTTCCCTCTCCTATCTGCGCATCCCTCTATTGACTGCGCAGGTATCGCAACCACCAGGGATCGGGCGCGTTGGCCCTTCTCCACTCCTCTGAAAACCCTCCTTCCTTCCCTCTTTTATCTGCGCATTCCTCTATTGACTGCGGAGGTACCGCAACCACCAGGGATCGGGCGCGTTGGCCCTTCTCCACTCCTCTGAAAACCCTCCTTCCTTCCCTCTTTTATCTGCGCATCCCTCTATTGACTGCGCGGGTACCGCAACCACCAGGGATCGGGCGCGTTGGCCCTTCTCCACTCCTCTGAAAACCCTCCTTCCTTCCCTCTTTTATCTGCGCATTCCTCTATTGACTGCGGAGGTACCGCAACCACCAGGGATCGGGCGCGTTGGCCCTTCGCCACTCCTCTGAAAACCCTCCTTCCTTCCCTCTTTTATCTGCGCATCCCTCTATTGACTGCGGGGGTACCGCAACCACCAGGGATCGGGCGCGTTGGCCCTTCTCCACTCCTCTGAAAACCCTCCTTCCTTCCCTCTTTTATCTGCGCATTCCTCTATTGACTGCGGAGGTACCGCAACCACCAGGGATCAGGCGCGTTGGCCCTTCTCCACTCCTCTGAAAACCCTCCTTCCTTCCCTCTCCTATATGCGCATCCCTTTCTTAACTGCGCAGGTTCCGCAACCACCAGGGCTCAGGGGTGTTGGCTGACTCCTTCCCCCTCCTGAATCGCGCCAACAGCTGCGGCCCCCTCCGCCGCCCTTCCTTCTGCACGTAGGCCGTAGCTCAGCCAAGTTTCTGCATGCGCCGAGCTTGGCCTTGGAGCTCGACTTTCAGAGGGGGTTGGGTGTTGGCAGACACTTTCACTCCTCTCAACCGCGACAAGTCAACAGCTGCTGCTGCCCTTCCTTCTGCTCGTAGGCCGTAGCTCAGCCAAGTTTCTGCATGCGCGGAGCACGGCGGCATTTGAGTTGGGTTCTCGAAAGGGGGGTTGGGTATTGACCGACTCCTTCACTCGTCTCAATCGCGCCAACAGCTGCGGCCCCCTCGGCCGCCCCTCCCTTAGCTCCTCCTAGATAGAAGCTATGAGCTGTAAGTGCGTGCTCTGCTCCTCTTGGTCATAGGTGTAAGAAGTGGTCTTATTGTGTGCTATATCTATCAACTTCTTTCGTGCTGGCTAGAGTCATATATTGGCCTTGGATGGAAGGCTGTGATTCTGGTTGTGGCACAACTTTGTTAAAGTGTAACTCTTTGGAGATACCGACGTGTAACATGTAGTACTCTTCGTGAAGTCTTACAGTCCGAAAGTGAAAGATATTAGACCTGCGTACAGCCTTCCGTTCGTACTGCGCAATTCGTCTATAAGCCTGTTCCAATTCGACCCCAACGATCCAATAAAGTAATCGCATTCCGATGTAATGAGCAGGTTGGCAAAAATAATCCCCATAGGTTGTCGCGCATTTTCGTGCGCGTCCTTCATTTGCTCCGCACTGTTCACTCGGGAGCTGTTGGTGTAGAAGAACGTCCAGTCGGGATGATCGTTCGTTTCGTCGATTACAGACTGGAGGAAATAGAAAACGGGGAGAAATGGAGAGAGGATAGAAGGATGGCAGGGGAGGGAGGCGGAAGGTGGAGCAAGGAGAGTGAGAGAGAGCAATGCGAGACAGAGGTGACTTTTGAGTTGACACAAAAGTCGCAGGATGGCAGGGAGGAGAGAGTGGTGGGCGGCGGAGCAAGGAGAGTGATGAGAAACAAAGGTAATTACTCTCCTTCTCATAACGTCAGGTCTAGTTGATGCCCAGCCAGGAAGATATGAGAAGGACGCATGACAGCAGCAGGTGCAGACCCATCTCGGGCTACTTGTCGCTCAGCCGCACACACATGCATTCCCTTGCTCCCTCCACTCCCCCTCATTTCACGCCCACCCTTCACGGAACACAAGGCGTTGAATGCCCTCCATTCTCACCTGTACTTCAGTGCTCAGCCAAACGTGCCTCAGGTCTGGCCGATGCTGTCTCAGCCTGGATGCCATCACAAGGAATGACGGCAGAGGGTGCAGACCCATCTCCGACCCCTTGTCGCTCAGCCGCACGTGCATGCTCACCACTGGCCGCACCATAAACACCTCCCCCCCAACATCCATAGAACCCCCATGGGGCTGCTGGGAGCTGGAGGGATTGTGAAAGGCGGCGGGGATACTGCTGGGGAGGTTATGGCAGCCTGAACGACCCCTGTTTGGCCAAACGTGCGACTGCAACGACCGCACACGTGTCGCATTCCCATTGGCTGCAAGAATTTCCCGCCCCGTTTCCCTCGCCTTGGCAGCAATCAGCAGCAGCAGGTCGTCCAGAGGATCCCTTTCTTCCGCTGATGAGGTGGCAGCTGAGGTGGCAGCTGAGCTGGCTGCTACGGTGGCGTTCAGTGATTCAACGATGCTCCCTTGCTGTGCCGCGACTGCTGCCACGCGATTGGCCACGAGGAGGCCGTAGCTGACGTGGCGGACGCGGTTGATGACGTGGCAGAGATGAGCGGACGGCCAGCGGAGCAAGAAGCGGGTTGTTTGAGCCCTCCACCACCGGGCCTGGGGGGAGGAGAGTAAGGTAAGAAGGGCAAGAGACACCAGCAGACCTCTGCCAATGGGCCTTCAGAAGCTTTGTATTTTCAAGGGAAGAGGAGGAGGAGGAGGAGGAGGAGGAGGAGGAGGAGGAGGAGGAGGAGGAGGAGGAGGAGGAGGAGGAGGAGGAGGAGGAGGAGGAGGAGGAGGAGGAGGAGGAGGAGGAGGAGGAGGAGGAGGAGGAGGAGGAGGAGGAGGAGGAGGAGGAGGAGGAGGAGGAGGAGGAGGAGGAGGAGGAGGAGGAGACGTGGGTGGCTTGAGCAATCCCTTGCAAAAACAATTGTCATGCAACAAATACCATGCACTCGCCATCATGCATGAGGAGTCTAGTTTTGAGGCGCCTAAAAAATAGACTCCTCACGCATGAGCCCCCCCTTGAAAACACAGTTGTCGTGCGACAAATACCACGCACTTGCCATCACGCACCCACCATCATGCACCCACCATTATGCACCAAGCACCATCACACACCCACCACCATGCACCCACCATCATGCACCCACCATTACGCACCAAGCACCATCACACACCCACCATCACACACCCACCATCATACACCCACCATCATGCACCCACCATTATGCACCAAGCACCATCACACACCCACCATCATCCAGTCAGGCTCTTGAGTAGAAATGGAAGCCGCCTCTTGAATGGTGTGCGGCCGATCCAGCCACGGCTTGCCCCACCTCCTGCAGTGGGTACCATTGTGTGGGTGAGAATGCAATGTTGGTTGCATGCGGACAGGGGGGTTGTTGCATGCAGACAAGGGGGGTCGTTGCTTGTGGACATAGGGGTCGTTGAAAAGTAGGATTGAAGGCACATGGCGAAACTGGAGTCTTACCAGGGCTTGCCTCACGTCCTGCCACGGGGGGCATGGTGCGAATCGCATGCAAGCAAAAAGAATGCACTCTCATAGAGGCATCAATCCAACCAATCTAGCAAAAACGCTCCTCCCATCTCAAACTTACAGCCTGGCAGCGTCAATGTCACCGAAGAGGGATGAGAGGGCGAGATAAACCACCTGCATTGCAGGGATGCACGGTACCAGGGTTTACGTATAGACCGCAACAAAAATGAGACGTTGCCCTCTCATATGAGATTGTATCGCTGCCCCCAAAAATGGCACCGAAGACGAAATGCCGCAAAATGAACGGAAAACTGTGAATAAATCAATAGAATAAAGAAGAGCCCAGAACGAGGATAGATAAAATGCAGAAAACCACTTCCTTGGGGCTTCTTTTTCTTTCGCAGACAACCTACGTGTCACCAGCCAGCATGGCATCCCTCCCTTCTTGCCCCGGATATCCGGAGCTCGCCCCCTCCCCTCCTCCTCCCTCTACTAGCCTAATAGTGCACATATACCAATCTGTGCGTCACCAGCCAGCATGGCTACTCTCCCTTCCTGCGCCCGGAGATCCAGAGCCACCCCCCCTACCATAGTGTAATGAGTCGATTTTTGAGTCGACTAAAAAATCGACTCATTACACGCCATCCCCCCATCATATGCTGGATAGTAGGATACTCGGAGCCTCCCCCCTCTACTACTAGCCTAATAGTGCACAAGTACCAACCAGCCTGAGTGTCACCAGCCAGCATGGCTTCTCTCCCTTCCTGCGCCCGGATATCCAAAGCTCGCCCCTCCTTCCTGTGTGGCACCAGCCAGCATGTCCTCCCCTCCTTCCTGCCATGCCCTCTTGAATGCAGGCTGGGGAGGAGATGGGGAAGCGGTAGCACTCCCACTGCTGACAAAGAAGCACCAACCTGAGTGGCACCAGCCAGCATGTCCTCCCTTCCTTCCTGCGCCCAGATATCCGGGGCCTCCCCTCTATCATGTGCTGCCATGGCCTCTTGCACGCAGCCCGGGGAGGAGATGGGGAAGAAGTAGCACTCCCACTGCTGTGCCTTGTGCAGGTCTTCTTGAGGGGTGGGGAGGGGTGGGGAGGGGAGGGGAGGGGAGGGGAGGGGAGGGGAGGGGAAGAAGAGGGCATGGATTGGGACGGATGGAGGGAACGGGCGGAGATGGGAAGAAGTAGCATTCCCACTGCTGCGCCTGGAGCAGGCCTTGAGGTGGGGAACGGATGGGTGGGGAGGGGTGGGGAGTGGTGGGGAGGGGAGGGGTGAGATGGGGTGGGGCCGGACGGAGAGGGGTGGCAGGAGTGGATGGAAAGCGGGGGATGGGAAGAACGAACTAGCACTCCCACTGCTGGCTTTGAGGCGCCTCAAAACTCGATGGGAAGAACGAACTAGCACTCCCACTGCTGGCTTTGAGGCGCCTCAAAACTGGATGGGAAGAACGAACTAGCACTCCCACTGCTGGCTTTGAGGCGCCTCAAAACTGGATGGGAAGAACGAACTAGCACTCCCACTGCTGGCCCTGGCGCGGGACTTGAGAGGGAAGCGGGGAGGAGGGTGGGGGGAAGGGGAGGGGAGGAGTTGGATGGATGGACCCCATCCCATGCGCCATGGACCCCATCCCAAGCACCATGGACCCCACCCCATGCACCACCATGGACCCCATCCCATGCACCCTGGACCCCATCCCATGCACCACAGACCCCACCCCATGCACCACGGACCCCACCCCATGCACCATGGACCCCATGCCATGGCGCAGGGCCAACCAGTGCGTCAGCATCAGCCATTTAGCCTTCCAACTGCTCGAGTGTGTCGTATGTGTTGGGGGTTCGGGGGGTGATGCTATTGAGTCGACTCAAAAGCTGCTCGAGTGAGTTGTATGAGTTGGGAGGGTGCGAGGTGGAAGGTGGGATGGGGTGGGTGGGATGAGGTGGGGAGGATTGGGGAGTGGTGGTGAGGGGTGATCTCCTACCTTCGCACACTCTTGTAGCCCTCTCAACTGTTCCCGGCATGACAACCAGAGTGCGGTTGCTGCGCATGGCAATGCTTAAAAAATGCCTCCATCACATGCACCATGGATGGGTCATGGACCCCATGTCACGCACCATGGACCCCATGTCACGCACCATGGACCCCATGCCACGCACCATGGACCCCATGCCACGCACCATGGACCCCATGCCACGCACCATGGACCCCATGCCACGCACCATGGACCCCATGTCACGCACCATGGACCCCATGCCACGCACCATGGACCCCATGTCACGCACCATGGACCCCATGCCACGCACCATGGACCCCATGCCACGCACCATGGACCCCATGCCACGCACCATGGACCCCATGCCACGCACCTAACACGCACCATGGACCCCATGTCACGCACCATGGACCCCATGTCACGCACCATGAGAACACCACTTGGTGGTAGTTTTAGCCATACGTGGCAGCGGGCTTGTCAAACACTTATCGTTTGGTAGAAAAAATTCTTAGGTGATTTTTGAGTCGACTCAAAAAAGGACCCCATGCCACGCACCATGGACCCCATGTCACGCACCATGGACCCCATGCCACGCACCATGGACCCCATGTCACGCACCATGGACCCCATGCCACGCACCATGGACCCCATGCCACGCACCATGGACCCCATGCCACGCACCATGGACCCCATGTCACGCACCATGGACCCCATGCCACGCACCATGGACCCCATGTCACGCACCATGGACCCCATGTCACGCACCATGGACCCCATGCCACGCACCATGGACCCCATGCCACGCACCATGGACCCCATGCCACGCACCATGGACCCCATGCCACGCACCATGGACCCCATGTCACGAACCATGGACCCCATGCCACGCACCATGGACCTCATGCCACGCACCATGGACCCCATGCCACGCACCATGGACCCCATGCCACGCACCATGGACCCCATGTCACGCACCATGGACCCCATGCCACGCACCATGGACCCCATGTCACGCACCATGGACCCCATGCCACGCACCATGGACCCCATGTCACGCACCATGGACCCCATGCCACGCACCATGGACCCCATGCCACGCACCATGGGCCCCATGCCACGCACCATGGACCCCATGCCACGCACCATGGACCCCATGCCACGCACCATGGACCCCATGCCACGCACCATGGACCCCATGCCATTGGCCCGGTGGGGAAGGGCAGGTGCGTTTAACCGCTTCTCCTAACCTTCGCATTCGCTCGTTGCCCTCTCAAATGTCCCCCGGCATGATAACCAGTGTCCAGTTGCTGCGCATGGCAATGCTCAAATAAGCCCCCACCACATCACATGCACCATGGATGCCATGGTGCAGCCCAGGCCAGCGCGTCAGCATCACACCATGCCGCACCTTGAGGCATTCTCTCACATGCATGCCGTGCCCTACAAGATCGCAACGCGGTGTGCACCGCAACATCCCTTACCTTCACACTCCCTTGTTGCCCTCTCGAATGTCCCCGGCATGACTACCAGGGTGCGGTTACTGCGCAGGGCGATGCTCAGATAGGCCCCCATCACATGCACCATGGACCCCATCCCATGGTGCAGCCCCGGCCAGCGCGTCAGCATCAGCCGCCGCCCGGTACAGCTGGCGGGGAACTGGTGCCGCCACATGTCGCGCTGCGCGCCACGTGTCATCGCCAGATTGGCCGCGTCTGAACCACGTACCTGAAAAGGGAGGGGGTGGAGGAGGGGAGAAGGGGAGGGGGGGCGCGGGTGGGGAGGGGGGGGGGGACGGGGGGAGAGGGAGAGGGGGGGGGGGATGGAAGGGGGGAGAAGGGGGGAAGGGGGAGACAAGAGGCTGAGAGACAGTTGAGGAGCTGCAGCAATAAATTTGGGGAAACTCCCAGAAAGGTTTGGGAAATTTGCGGGGAGACCCTTTTAAAAACGAGAAGTTATATGGTTGCACCCATGCATGCATCCCCACTCCTCCCACCCACCTACCCACCCACGGTGGTTGGGGGCCGCAGTTACAACACCCCCGGCCATCCTCCCCGCTTCCCCCGCTTCCCCCACAGCACTCTCCAGATTCCTCGCGCGCCCATGCAAGGGGTGTTCCGCCCTCCCCCCGCTCTTCCGCTGCTCGACGCGCGGCGGTGCGGGCGGCGCAGTCTTCGAGGTGGGGCGCCGGGGGGACGTTGGGGGGAAGGGCAAGTGGCGCAGGGGGGAGGAGGGCGGAGGAATCCTCGAGGCCATACGCCTGTGTCCATTCCTGGTGTGATTATAACGGAAGGGAGTGAACGGGAAGCAGTGAACGAACGATCAGTCCTCCAGTGTACGGTATCCGAATAAGTAAGGTGGGACATAATGCTCGTTGCTGATTGGAGAGCTGACTAAGATGCCACGTCACTCACGTCAAACAGCGCCTGGGTTCTGGTTTCGTGTTCCTGATCGGCGAAGAGGTTACCAGCTTCGGCGAAGCCCGCCCAGTGCGCCAGCAGTAGCAGCACCACCGTCGTCAGCCAAGCCATAGCGGCAGGCTTATACGCGCGCGAAAGCCACCTGAACGTGTCTGTCAAGCCATAGACAACGGCTTGGTTGAAATTGAGTCGTCCTTGTAAAGTATGTTCGAATGTGAACCAACAGCCTGTAGCGGGTATGGCCATTTGCTGCGTGATTGGTTCCCATATGGGTGAGGAGATCGCGTTGGGGCAGTACTGTGCCCGGCATTGCTTGCAGGCTGCGCTGCAACTGCTTGCAGACTGTTCTGCAACATGGGAATGTTGTCGGTGAAATACTACAGTTTTTTGAAGGCATTGCTATAACGGTTTCAGCATTGTACATTTGGACCGAAACATATTTCTATTTGGACAATTACAGCTGATCAGTAAGGGGTAACTACCCCAACACTGTTAGGTGCTGAACGCACTGTTGTACGGTTGGTCCTTCCGAAAACAGGGAGACAACGCTCGGCCATTGAAACTGACTTCCACGCATCGCAGCCGTACATTCGATATGCGTGGGTGAACTGCTTCGGGAAATTATAAAAAAGGGTCCTCCCATCGCTAGAGGCATGAGCAAAAAAGGTCTGGCAGCTTTTTGCCCCGAGACCTCGTCTCCGAGCCTGTGCTACACCTCATTCGTCATACAACACGCGCACATCGCGGGGCCACAATTTTGCAGGTTCATGGGGGTGCTTCGTGTCCTAACCCTGTGATGGGACCTTTATACGAATTCAATGTACTGTACTGTATTAGGGCAAAAAGAAAAACTAAATTCAATTGGGGCACCGCATGCGACTCGGTGTGGCATCAACTCTAAACTCGCAAAAGGGCCGCGTGTTTAGGGTTAATGCCATCCGGAACAGAATTCGGTCCCCAATGGGTTTTAGTTTTTTTTTGCCCGTTGAGAAATGTTGAATGGTACCGCAAACGTCCCGTAAATGTATTTCAGGTTCAGAGGCGAGGTCCCTGGAGCAGAAAATAGCCGGACCTTTTTTGCTCACGCCTCTGGCAAAGCGAGGACCCTTTTTTATCATTTCCCAACTGCTTCCAGCAGGATCTAGAATCAATGGTTGCTCCGCAATCATCAGATTTCTCCTCGTGTCTCTCAATCCATCCCGTCCCACGTAGATTGTGTGGTCCACGGCCGTCCATCACACGCATCTCGGCTCGCCAGTGCTGGTTACCAAAAATCGTCCTTGCAAGAGTCGCGCGATACGCTAGAGGAAGAATCACCATGGCATGGCAGAGGCGGAGAACAGCGAGCCCAAGGCCAAATCTAGGGTTTCCTTTCCAATCCAACTTGAAGCCTCTGAGACTCTCTCCATGCACTTTTTTCCAGGAGTCCCAAGAGTGCGTCCCACATACACTGAATGCGGTGATGTACGGTGCGACACGTTGGGAAACGGTTTCTGTGATCCACCGCTTTGAACCATGAGGCACCGTATCGGACCTGTAAAAACTGTACGGGTGACGTACTCGCCCTGAGGCTGCTCTGGCTTCAGGGGAAAATGTCACCTGCTCCTGATAAACTCAGCCATTCTGATGGATCAACCAAGGGTATTACCAGTGAACCTATCGCAATGGCGGCGACGCTTTCTTATCTCCTGTCTCACCTTTTATGGATTTTCCTTCGACGAAATAAGGGTTTCCTAGTGTAACCCGCCAGCTGGTTCTACAGCTACTCTGGCCTGAAATGCTGAGGTTTTTAGACCGACCTCATCAAACCAGAGCAATTAGACTTCCTGTTGCTGATATAGCCGACGTATGTCTTTACTATCGCGCACCCTTGTGTGTCTCGATTTCGTGCGATTTCCCCTTAGCCGGCACCTTTATCATAACCCTAGCAATTAGGGTGTTTTATTTGAAAATCGGCGGTCAAGCGGTTTGTTTCTATAGAACTAGTTTCTTCTTCCGTTGCTTGGGGTTTCTTATTATCTGTTAACTCCAGGTAGTCCTCCGAGCGATGGAGGTCACCAGCAAAGCCGCGAGGGAGGGGTCCCGCGCTGGCGGGGGAGGCGAAGCCTCCAGTCGGCGGAACGGGGGAGATCGAGAGGGGCGCGGATCAATGAGCGGAACAAAGCGGGAGCGCGGGGGGGGCGCGTGGGGCGCGGAGAGCAGCGGCCCCGGGGGGCGCAGCGGAGCCGGCGGAGGGGGGGGAGCGGGGGGGAGCTCCACAGGCGCGGGCGGGGAGAAGAAGGTGAAGGTGATGCAGCGCGGGCACGGCATTGCGCACCTGGAGAAGCTCCGCCTGCAGGAGTTGCGGAACGCGGAGCTAGAGCGGTCGCAGCAGCAGCAACAGCAGCAGCACCAGCAGCACCAGCAGCAGTTAAGACAGCTACAGCAGCATCAGCAGCAGGATCCCTCGAGCCTCTTAACCTCTTCCGCTACTGCTATTCAAGCGCTAGGGCTCGGCGGACTTTTCTCCTTTTCGCCCTCCGTCGCTTCCTCCTCCCTTGCGTCTCTCTCCGCCCCTCTCGGCCCGCATTCCGACAGCCTCGCGACAGCGGCCGCGGCGGCGGCGGCGGCGGCAGCTGCGTCCGATCCGCTGTTGAGCATCGCCGCGCGAAGGCAGTTGTCGCTGCTCGCGGCGTCGCGGTCGTTGTCAAGCGACTTCGTGGATCGAATGCGCGTGGGCGGAGACCGATCTGTGGGCGGAGGAGGGAGCGGGGCTGGCGGAAGCTTAGGCGGAAGCATTGGCGGAAGCTTGGGCGGGCTGGGTGCGGCGCTTGGGGGACTGAGCGGAACGACGGGGAGCAGTGCCGAGGGAAACGAGCGGGTTCCGCTAGACGTGGTTATGGCAGCGTCGGCAGGCGCAGCTTTGGGTAGAGACGGATTCCACATGCTCGGCGGAGGCTTGGGCGGAGGCTTGGGCGGAGGTTTGGGCGGAGGCTTGGGAGGAAGCTTGTTTGGCGCTGGGGGATCAGGGCTGGGTGGTGGGCTGGGGGGAGGCGCGGGGGCGCGGGGAGGGACCGCGAGCGAGGGGGGCGCGGGGTTCGGGAATATCTTTGGCGGGGGGCTGAGGGGGGCGGCAGCGGCGGCAGCAGCGGCTGCGGCGCACGCGGCGAGTACGGGGAGGGGCGGCACTGGGGGCGCGATGCAATCGTTGAGCGAGTTTGCCATCCGGCGGCTTCAGATCCTGGTACGCGGAGCGATGCGGGTAAGCGGAAGAAAATTGGTGAGCTTGAAGGCAGGTTGGTTGGAGCAGCAACTGGTGCTTCGCACGCGGCGAGTACGGAACTGAGAGGGGGGGGGGGGTCTCCCAGTGCAATTGCTAAGCGAGTTTGCCATCCGGCGGCTTCAGAACTTGGTACGCCGGAGTGATGGTGGTACGCCGAGAGCGATGCTGGTAAGCGGAGCGATGGTGGTACGCCGAGCTATGGTGGTAAGCGGAGCCATGGTGGTACGCCGAGCGACGCTGGTATGCCGGAGCGATGGTGGTAAGCGGAGCCATGGTGGTACGCTGAGCGATGGCGGCACCGTAGCCATCGGCGGTTGGGTACAACTCGCGGGAGGTCGGCAGCACCTGGCGCACGCCTGACACCCCTTTCCGCTGCTCTCTTACTCCACCTTTTGACGCGAAGGGTTTTTTGGCGGAGCAGGCAGGCGGGGGGCGGCAGCGTGGCCATCGGCGCTGGGTACAACTCGTGGGAGGCCGACAGCACGGGGCGCACGCCCGACACCCCTTTCCGCTGCTCCCTTACTCCACCTCCCCCCCCCCTGTTTCCCCCCGTGTCTTTCCCTTTCCTCTGCCCGTTCCTCTGTGTGTGTGTGTCTCTCTCTCTCTCTCTCTCTCTCTCTCTCTCTCTCTCTCTCTCTCTCTCTCTCTCTCTCTCTCTCTCTCTCTCTCTCTCTCTCCCTCTTCTCCACAGAACGACCTGCGGCAAGTGGAATCGGCAGGCGGGGGTTCAAACCTCGACGTGGGGGCGTTTGGCGGAGCAGGGGGGCCGGGGGGCGGCAGTGTGGCCATTGGGGCTGGGTACAACTCGTGGGAGGTCGACAGCAGCTCGCGCACCCCAGGCTCCCGCGGAACTGGGCTCGGCGCAGCAGCAGCAGCAGCAGCAGCTGCAGCGGCGGCGGCGGCAGCAACAGCAGCAGCGGCATCGGCAGCAGGCGGGACGTCAGGAATAGCAGCAGGGGCAATGCCAGGGGGAGGACTTGCTGGTTCAACCCCCCCGGCTGCTGCGTCTGCTGCTTCCCACGGGCTATCAAATCTCGCCTCAGGCGCGAGCGCTGGCGGGGGGAGCGCGGGTACGGGCGCTGGGCCTGCGGGTATGAGTGGTGGGGGAGGCGGTAGCCCCCTTGGCGCGGGGGGGAGCTCGCTCTCCGCCCATCTACCCAGCGCCACGCCTCTTTCCGCCACTGGCGTGGGGTTGGGGCCGTCTGGCTTGCGCCACAGCAGCTTCAGGGGGGATGGGGGGGCGGAGGCGTCACCCCTTGGGGGAGGCGGAGGCGGAGGGTTGGGGGGAGGGGGAAAGGGGGGGGAATGGGCGGGGGAAGGAATCTGGAGGAAGAAAGCGGGGGAAGGGGTTTCTGGGGGGCTTTGATCAGAGGCTGGGTAGCGGGGGGAATGATGGTAGTGGGGAGCGATTTGGAGGGGAGGGCGGAAGGGGCGCGGTGTTTGGGCTTGGGGCGGGGAGGAGGGAGGAGGAGGAGAAGGAAACGAGGGAAAGGCCTTTCCCCTTGCACACACATCCGTTCACGCAGTAAGTGGCTCCCCTTGCTTCAAAAGTAGCACATCCACATCCGCCCCTCTTAGCTCGCACGCCCACCGTTTGAAGTGCAATGGCTGGCAGCCATTGAGTGGCATGGTGAAAGATCAAGCCACGAGTGACGATCCATGGGATCTCACTCACTTGCTTGCGTGCACCTTCTGGCAATCATGCTACGCCAATCACGCCTTTGCCCTCCTGCCTCTTCCCCCTGTCCTCCCGCCTCTTGCCTCTTCCCTTCGCATGCAATCATATCTCCCTTTCTCCCCTCCCTCCCTCACTTCTCGACCACCTCCCTCCCCCCTCTTTCTATTCTCCTTCTCACTCGCCCCAACCTCCCCCCATGACTTTTGAGTCGACTCAAAAGTCTTCTCACTCACCCCAACCTCTCCCATGGTCCCATTCCTTCCCGCAGCAGCTCCCGAACCGTGTCCGAGCCTGTGAGTGGAGCTTCGGCATCGCTCATCGCGTCCCTATCCTCCCGAATCCTCGCCGAAGCTCACTTGCGCGAGGCAGCAGCAGCAGCAGGTGGTGCTGGTGGCGCTGGTGGTGCAGGGTCTGCAGCAGCAGCCGCAGCCGCAGCAGCAGCGGCGCATTTTAGTAACCTAAACGCAGCAGCAGCAGCAGCAGCAGCACACCTAGGAGATCTAGGAGACCTAGGATCAACAGCAGCAGCAACAGCAACAGCTGCAGCGGCAGCGGTAGCAGCAGCAGCAGCAGCAACGGCAACCACCGCCCAGCTCTCCTCCTTCCATGGCCAGGCGTTTTCCCCATCCTCTCTAGCCGACTCTCTCCTCTGGAATCGTCTCAATACGGAATCTCATCTACAGGACTTAGCCCAAAGGGACTTAGCCCAACGCGAATTAGCCCAGCGGGACCTAGCCCTGCGGGAATTGAAGGCAGAGTCCCACCTCCGGGACTTGAGAGCAGCGGACCTAGCCCTGCGCCTGCAGCTTGAGGGGCGGTTAGGCCCGCTGGAAGCAGCTCGGCAGCTGGAAGCCGCCAGGCAAGCTGCTGCGGGGCTCCTGGGCGGAACAGGAGCAGGGGCGGGAGGGGGAGGCGGGCGGAGGCGGAGAAGGTGGGGGAGGCGGGGGGGGAGGCGCAGGCGGAGGCGGAGGGGGGTAAGGGGGGAGCGGGCGCAGGAGTGAGTGCAGGTGGGGGAAAGGGGGAGGATATGGTCTGGGGTGGAGGGCAGGTGGGGGAGGTGAGATGCAAGGGAGGCGTGAGTCCGTTACTGCCTGGCCCAGCAGCAGTGGCAGTGACAGGAAGGGAAGTGGACAGGTGGAGGAGTGGAAAGCAGGCCACGATTGGGATGTGGTTCGGGAACCGAGGCTGGCGAAAGGGCGGGAAGTGGGGCCGGCGGAGGTTCGGGAAGTGAGACCGGCGGAGGTTTGGGATGTGGGTCAGGTGGAGGGACGGAAAGTGGGGAACGATTGGGGATTGGCTCGGGAAGTGAGACCAGCGGAGGTTCGGGAAGTGAGACCGACGGAGGTTCGGGAAGTGAGACTGGCGGAGGGTCGGGAGAAGAGGCGGAAAGACGAAGAAGAGGAGGAGGGGGGACGAGGGATTGAGGCGAAGAGGGGGAGGAGGGAGGAGGTGGGAGGGGATGTGACGGGTGGGCGGACGAGGGAATGAGAATGGAGGGAAGGGGGAGAGGGGCAGGCGCAGGTGCAGGAGGTTCTAGCTCTTGCAAACCGCTTTGAGGCGCCTCACACTGGGCAGGAGGTTCAGACTCCGGCGAATCGCTTTGAGGCGCCTCAAACGTTGCAGGAGGTCCAGGTTCCGGCGAATTTCTTTTTGAATAGATGGGCGAGTTTGGGCCGGAGTAACAGGGAGTCGGAAACGGCAGCTGGAGGATCGCTTGTAGCAGCACTCACAGCAACAGGAAGAGGAGCACCCACAGCAACCACAACAACAGCCGGAGCAGCAGCAGCAGCAGCAGCACCAGAACCAATAGTACCACCACCAGCAGCGGCAGCAGCAGCAGCAGCAGCAGTAGGAAGGGAAGGGGCTTTGCCAGTGCCAAAGGTTTTGGTGAAGCAGGAAAGAGAGGAGGGGCTGACTGCCTTTGAGTCGGGTCAAAGGAAAAGAGAGGAGGGGCAGGGTGCTGGAGGAGGGAAGCAGGTAGGGTTGGGAATGGAACGAGGGTATACCTCGGGTGGACCTAGTGGTGCTGATGCTGCTGGTGGCTCTGCTGCTGCCCCTGCTGCGGCCCGTGCTGCCGCCTCTGCTACAGCTGCTGGTTTAGGTGGTGGGTCTGCTAGTGCCCCTGCCGCTGCTGCTGATACTATGGGGGTTGAGGCTAAGTGGTGGCGGCGGGTGTCACTTCAACTGGAGGACGCAGGGCTAAGCGGCAGGCGGGAGGACACAGGGCTAAGCGGCAGGCGGGAGGACACAGGGCTAAGCGGCAGGCGGGAGGACGCAGGGCCAAGTGGCAGTGGCGTGGGGAGTGTGGGAGGGGTGGGTTCCTCCGGTGGTGGTGGTGGGGGTGGTGGGGCTGGTAAATGATGTGGTTAGTGGGATCAGTGGTGCTGCTGCTGCCACAGATGCGGCTACAGTTGCTGCTGCTACAGGATGCTGC